CACACTGTGAGTAGGAAAGCCAGGATTAGCAGGCTCTTGGTCTCCTCCAGAGAGAGGCCGGATTTACCACCTCCCAATCACTCCACGGAGCCCGGATTCTCCTGCTCCTGTCCTGGTTACTTATTTTGCGGATCGCTTGATGAGGCCTGGGGAATGCTGCAGTCGGCAGTCCTAACAGGGCAGGCGGGAGCTGGGGCCCTGCCTAGGCCGGACACAGCACCCCCCATCCACAAGGGCTGGCCTGGAGCTGGAAGGTGGCCCTGGTGCTTTGCCTGAGTGGCCTCACCTGCTTTCTACAGGCCTCACCCTCCCTGCTGCTCTTCCTCGGGGGGTTAGCTCGACAGTTTCTCAGAAGGAATAGCACAACCCTGATTTCCCAGTTAAGCAACCAGCACAGGGGCAGGAGCTCGTCCCCGGCCTGCAGCAGGGCTAGCCAGGTAGTTTCTGGAGTCTGGGTGAGTCCCTTCTCCTGGGGCTTTCTGGCTGGGTAGCACCTTTGCAGATTAGATACTCAAACAGTCTCACCTGGGTTGTGTTCAGTGGAGGTGTGTGGTGTCCTTGTTGTCCACACAACTCCCCAGGCTCCGTGACTCTTGCAGGTTGTGGGCATCACTGTCCATGGAGAACAGTTATTTGCAGGTTCTTGTGCCAAGGAAGATGGCTCTGGGCAGTGGCTGTGCCTGGCATGAACCTCAGCTCTGGAAACATGTTTTTGTGCTTTGTTGACACCCTCACTCGCTGTGTGGTCATGGACACCCTACCCAATATCCTTAGCCTCCAGTTTCCCCACCTTCAAAAGGATATTAAGAGTCGCTGGCCATGCAGACTGTAAACCTGGACAATGGCTATGGAGCGCCGAGCCCTCTGCCCAGCACAGGGGAAGTGCAGGAAACAACTTCTAACTGAGCACTTGCTGACCGTCAGCGTGTGCAGGCCTGCCGGTCTTGGGGAAAGAGGAATGGGAGAGACCAGATCTCTCCTTCTACCAAGTTCTTTAAGTAATGGCAGAGGCAAAGGTGGACCCCACTCATGTTAGCCAAGAAGTACGTGCTATAAGTGACCACAGCCAGCTGTCTGGAAAGGCCAGGTAGCCCCCAGGGGCTGGTGGGGAGGGGCCTGGAGAGTGGAGCTCAGATGGGAGGAGCAGCACACTGCGCCCCTCCCCGCTGTCTTTGGCAAGAGGAGGGTGTGGAGCAGCAGCTGAACCAAACCCCACCGCAGGCTCCCCAGACTGGAGGCTGGGAAAGGAGGACTCCATGTTTAAAACAACAGAGGATGATAGTGAGTCTAGGGACTGCGAGTTGGCAGGTCACTGAGGAGGAAGACACAGGAGCACCCAGTCAGAGATGAAGAGCAGAAATCCAGGAAGGAGCACGGTGGAGGTCCCACAGCAACCCCAGAGGCAGGGCCTCTCTGTGGCAGGAGGGTGAGCAGCCACATTCAAAGGGCCAGGGAGGATGTATCTAAAGTGGGCCTGCAGCCTTCTTTGTGGTGGTGGCAATTTCCAAGCAACCGGGGAAAACGGATGCGTCACTGGTGTTATCTGGACACGGGAGAACTACACGGTTCTGTACCTGGGAGACCAAACCTCTTCCATCAGGCATGGGGTGCACAGAGCCCAGGCAAACCATGTGTCTCAAAGCCACTCTGTGTCACTCGGCTTTTCCTTGCTGTGGCTAAAATACCCGAAAAGAACAACTCAGAAGAGGAAAGATTGATTTTGTCGCAGTTTGAGAGGTTCGGTCCACGGCCAGCCGACTCCAAGGCAGAAACGTCCTCACGAAGGTCAAGGCAGACCCCCAGCCAGGAAGGACCACAGAGAGAGCCTGAGCTGCACTTTCCAGAGGTAGTTAGTATCTGGAGGCTCCCTGGGCCCTGGGCATCAACTCTGGGTTTGGAAGATGCATTTGGGGGATACCACAATAGCATTTCACACCTACCTATGGCTAAAGCTTCCCAGGGAACCTGAGGTCCCTACCAGCAGGCGAGAGCACATGGCCCGAGGCCAAGGTGACCCGGGGCCCTGGAGCTCAGTGGTTTGTGACTAAAGTCTGCCATTTCAGCATCTTTCTTCAGCAAGAGAGAGCACAGGCTGGTGGAGCCTCCTGAGGGCCTCAGTGGTGCCGTTTTTCACCAAGGAGGGACATAACCCCTTTTCTTAGTATCAATTTCACGCTCTACATAGTTCTGTTTAGGTTCTTGCTCGGGGACTCTCCGGTGCATGGACTCTGAAGTTCTGGGACCAAGAATCAGCCTCGGAACCGCCCATCAGAGACCGCGGCCTTCCTGGGGCGGAGTCAGCACCTGAAATGGTGCAGCATCACCATCTGGTGGTGGATCGCAGAACTGCGCCCTGGGGAAGGCGACCGTGTTCCTCACAAACTTGGTCCCCCATCCTCAGTTCTTCCAAAGTCACCGCCCCAAGGAGATCACCTCCAAAAGGTACGCAATTAACTCAGCCTCGGAGTCCCCTAGATCTACCCGCTCACCTAGCCCAGAGAAAGCCTGCTGTAGAGCTGGGGGACAGCCACCAGCCTTTACAGATCCCTGCCTTTGGCACTGGGGGACCTGGGGTGAGCTGGAGGTGGTCCCTGACATCCAAGAGCTCCGTGCCTGTGGAGGGGACAGAGCCAAGGCCACCATGACTAGGACTGGGGACTCTGGGCTCTGGCCTGGCAGCTGTCCGACTTAGACCAAGCTCTTGGAGGCTTGGTTTTCCACGTGTCAGCAGGGAAATGGGCTCACCGGAGTCCCTCGGGTTGTTTTAAAGGCAGCCTTATGCGGAACAGACCACTGGTGGAAGGTAATTCACTCCTTGTGCGTGGGATGACAAGTGGTGGAACAAAGGGAGCAACACTGAGGAGAGGGGAGGGGTCAGGGAGGGCTTCCCAGAAGGGGCTTTTCCGTGGGTCTCCCAGGATGAACAGCAGCTTTCCAATCAGAGGGAAGGGCCTCTGGGTGCCGAGCTGTGGGTACGAAGATGGCACAGTAAGAAGTCCTGCAGAGCATTTGGGAAGCTATGAACAGTCCCGTCTGGCCTAAGCCTAAGGTGGGTGAGGTAAGGCAGGTGGAACTGAAACCAGACAGGTGAGTTTGATCAGAATCTGCAGGAGGGCTGCGGGAACCTGTATTGATAAGGAGATTCCCAGGGATTTGTGAGGCAGACAGAAAGCTCCAATGTCTGGAGACCGTCGTGTACCAGATGGTCTGCATAACTCTTTCTAATCTGCACCACAGATGCAACATAGACTTTTTTGTCCTTATTTTGCACAGCAGAAAGCTGAGGCTCAGAGAAGTCACGTGACTTGCCTAGGCTCACACAGCTAATGTGAATCAAGATTCAGTCCCTGTTCTGCTAGACTCCAAAAGCCACCCACACCGTGAGCGCCCAGCAAAAGTCAGCCGCGCCCTACCCAATAGGAAGATGTTCTTCTGGTCTGCCAGACGTGTGATGTTTCCCCGAAGTCCATCCTGGCAGGATTTGAGGGTAGCCCACTCCACAGCCTGGGTTCTGGTGCTGGGTGTGTGCATGGTGGAGCAGATTTCCCTGTTGGAGTTACTAGAGGAAGAGAGTCCTGCTCTTCTCAGGAATTTTTGCCAGAGATTGTTTTGTGGGAACATGTGCAATTTAAAAAAAAAAATTTAAACAATTTAAAATTTATAGAAAAGCTTCAACAGGCCAGGCATGGTGGTGCACACCTGTAATCCAAGCAACTCTGGAGGCTGAGGCAGGAGAATTGCAAGTTCAAACCCAGCCTCAGCAACTTAGTGAGGCTCTAAGCAACTTAGCAAGAATCTGTCTCAAAATAAAAAAAATTAAAAAGGGATGGGGATGTGGCTCAGTGGTAAAGCACCCCTGGATTCAATCCCCAGTACACAAAAAAAATCACAGAAAAGCTTCAACTGCAGACAAATAACTATGTTCCCTGGAACCATTTTCAGTGCATTATCCATACTTAGTGCCACTACTCCATTTCCCAACACTTCCATGTATTTCCTGCACATAAGGACCTCCTTCTACCTGGTCACAACATACCACTAAATCGGGAAGTCAGCACAGTGGGTGATTGCTGTATCTTGAGCCCAGCCTGTGGCCCAGTGATTCCTTGACAGCAAGTGCAGATGGGCCTGTGGCATTTGTCCTCGGTGTTTCCTGACTCTCCCACAGTGTCGCAGTGTGGTGCTATTCTGTAGTCTTTTCTTGACCCTTCATGACCTTGGCATGATCCTTCATGACCTTGATGTGACCCTTTGTGACCTTGACACTTCTGAAGGTTACGAGCCTGTTATCCTAGAGACTGTTCCTCACTGGAGGCATCTCCCGGGCTCCTTTCCTGCAGTTACTCTTTTCTTCTTGTAATTAATACATGTTTTGTGGTACGCGGTGCTGAAACGGAAAATTTCCTGTTCCTCGTCAGTCTTTCAATTTGTTCACTTACATCAGTACAGACTTGAGGTTCCCTGTGTAATTCAGTGGGTTCTCATCTGTTGCTCTCACTATTTATTTGATGTTCAGATTGTCCCAGATTTTGCTCACAGGGAGACCCTGGAAGCTGGCTTCTGTGTCTTCTGACCTGCTCCCTGTCCTTGGAGGACACCCTTGCTTTCAGGGACAGTAAGCTCTTCTACTGTGGCCTTGCACCTTTCCTCCCCCAGCAACGGAGTGAGCCATCACTCCAAGAAGCACCCAGTGCTCCCTTCAGTGGGAAATCAAACCCAGGTCAGCATCTAGGACCTGAAGTCCACTGCCCCAGACCCTCTGGGTGAAATGCGTGTATGCAGTGTGGATAAGCACACAGTGTCTGTGCATGTGTACACATACATTTGTGCCGGTATTCTATAGCTACACATTTATATGTTTAAACTAAACATTTACTTAGTTTACATTTACTCCCCCCCTTACGTTACCAACCTCTTTGTTAGATGGCTTTTGAACTTTCAGAGAACTATGAAATGTTAAGGCTTTTAAAACCTTCTTACCTGATCTTTTTATTTTGTAGATCCAGAGCAGGGGAGGAATGAAGACCCAAGACTCCCACCTAAAAGGGAAGTATCAAGGCTGAAGTGACCTTCAAGGACGTGCAGGCCATGGACAAATGGATGGGGCTGGTCTCCCGGGAGAGAATGGACCCGTCTGGGAGGATCAATGGAAGGACACTGTAGCAGAGCAGGGGAACTTGGAGGCCAGGAGGGGCTTTGTAACAGCCTGAGCAGTGGTGTGGGGCTCCTGACTTGGGAAAATGGTGGACCCAACTCTAACCCTCATGACTCGCCCACATGCCTGTCGGCCGCCTTGAGCATCCCAAGGGTCCTGGGTTTCCACACAGGCCGTGTTCCCTGGCTTGATGCTTCCAAACTCTCTTCCACTCCCCTGAACCCCTGCACCTGCTTGCTGGGGCCCTCTGGAGCCTCCCACTTCCACCAGGCGGTCCCCACTTACCTTGCCAGTGAAGCTCTCCCTCTCCCCAGGAACCATCCAGCCCGGAGGCCTGGCCACAGGCTTGGGTAGGTCAGGTGGGCTTGGGACCAGCCTCCCCCACAAGCCATAGAAGTGCAAGGCAGGCCACCCAACAAGTTCCTGTCCTTCCTAGTGTCACCCCTACTTTGGACCCTTTGGGGCTGAGCTTTCTGCACTTGCATGGACTCCCTGACTTCTTGAGGCTTCCCTTTGGCCCCCTTTGAGGCCATCTCTAGAGTGCTAGGGACTCGGAGGGCCATCTGAGGACACTGTGGTCCTGAGGATTTGTGTGCAATGCCCTGGCCCCCTGGACCTCTCTTGGGACCCAGCTTCCTGCAGCCCATCAGGTTCTCCCAGAAACACCAAGGGGGCCAGCAGGTGGCGCTGCTGGGTCAGAACCTGCCCCCCCCACACACACAGATCCAGCCCAGAGAAGGGTGGGGGGTAGGGCAGAAGGGAAGGGTGAGGACTGGGAACTAGAGGGCGTGGGTCCACCTAGAGCATTCTGCTTGTGTGTGGCCTTAGTAAACAGGCACAAGCGACGTGCCTGCATGCTTCGACACACATCACACAGGTGAAAGGGGCTTTTAGACAAAATGATTCCCGGGTCTGTTGGTGGGTGGGGCCGGCGCGAGCTGGGGGCCTCTGCCACCAAGAAAGCCCCTGTTAGTGTTAGCGGCTAAGCACAGCAGCGGCGGGCTATGACCAGCTCCTTTCCAGGTTCTCGTCTCACGAATCTGATGAACGAAATTCGCAGGACAACGGAAGGCAAGAGAGAAAGAAGAGCGACTTATTCATGTGAGGAATAGAAGCAGAGCTCTCACAGGGCAAGGGGGACTCACAGAGGTTGCTGCCTGCAGGTGCTAGGCGAGGGGGTAAGATAGCACTTGGGTTGGTGCCATGAGTCCAGATTCATGCTAATCAGGGTTTGGAAAAGTACCAAGGCTATGGGTTCATCCTTGAGTCTGAACTTCCCTCCAGTCTGCACCACTTCCACTTTCTCAATCCGCTGTCTGAACCCAGCTTCCCGAGGTAGAGGTTGGCAACTCCTGGATGCTCGGGGTTGGAATTCGAGGCACTGTTTGGAGTGAGCATCCACTTTGGGCCCTGGCGGGACTGCCTCGGAGTGACAGGTCTGCATAGCTTGGCATGGCAGGCTCAAGGTGGCCGCAGCCTCTGCTCCCCACCTATACTCCAGCCCCTGGCCAGCTGCTCCTCCACTCCAGGGACAAGGGCATGGCTTCAGTACAGTGAGTGTACAGATGTACACACAGGTATGCACATCTGCACGTGTATACATGCCTATGCCTACACATGCATACAGATTAGTGTATTCATGTGCACAGGTATGCCCAGTAGTATACACATGCATATATACCAATACACATATATACACACACACAAACCAGCACATATGTAAAATACTGTACATCTTTATATATACACACATACAAACACACATCAGAGCACTCACACTCATGTGCACACATGCATGTGCATTTGTGTACACCCTCACACAGGGTCTGCACATGTGTGCACACCTATCAGCAACTAAGTGCTGCAGTGTTGGCCTCAGACTTATGTCTCTAAGGTCTGGATGGCAGTGGCTCTTCTCACAAGGGCCAACTCTGGGTCTCCCTTCTCCGCACAGAGTCTGTTCATCACTGTGGAAGCTCTTGGCCTTGCCTGCCCCGCAGTGCACACCCAGCAGGTTTCGGAGTCTGCTGGGGACCAGAGCCTCACAGCCATTACAAAAGACTCACCACAAATACGCCCCCAGCCACCCACCTGCAGCTATGTTTTTAAATTTAATGTGGAATGACTGTCCTTAATGTGGGATGGTGAAACATCACCGACTCTGCGCAGGAAGCAGGTAGGTGTTGGGGGGTGGAAGACTGGCTCCGCCCCATCCTCACCAGCGGGGGAGGTTGGGGTGAGGTTTGGAACACAGACAGGGCCTTACATAGACGTGGCATTCCTGGGAAGAGTGTTCCCACAGCATGCCGTCACCAAGGGGCTTGATGCTGGGCATCCAACCAAGACAGAGGGGATCAGGGAAGACAGGAGGGTCCAGAACCTGGCTCAGGCCCTGGAAGTGGTGAACTGTGGGGCCATGGCAAGCCACCTTTCTTAATGGTGATACTGGTGGTGACAGTAAACAGAATCTGAGATGACTTTTGTCTGTTATCTCTCCTTGAAGTGCTGTGACCAGGACTTAACCCCTGACGCTGAGAAAGCATCTGCTGAGCTTGGGGAGGGGTCTTGGAGTTACGCTCTGGATGGAATACCCTGAGATTGTCAAGAAGATGACAAAGTCTGAAAGAGGAACGTGGCCTCATTTTCTAGTCCAAGCAGGTGGCGGAGGGATCTGCTTATAGATGTGTCTGTGCCTTTCTTGGACACAGCCGGCTTTGTTTCCCAGGCTCTTTGACAGTGTGTGTGTCTGTGTGTGTGTGTCTGTGTGTGTGTGTGTCTGTGTGTTTGTGTGCGCACACACATGCAGGAGAAGGTGCAGGGGCCCAGGTGAATGGAATATGCCCAGGCCCTGAAGCGATTCCAGGAGAGCAGGCCACTGCCTGAAGGAGGCTGGGCTGCTTTAGAGCAGCGAAGGGGAACCAGGCGGTCACTTCAGGTGACCTCTGTCCAAGTTGCTTCCTGTTTGGACAGGTTTTGGGGAGCTAGACCCAGGTGAGCTGCTGGAACCGCTGCTGATTCATGCTAACATGACCACCAGTGAGGCTGACTTCCCTGCACACGGAGGCCTGGGTGGGATCTGGGCAGGGTGTCTGACAGAAGCCTGGAGTGGCTGCTCCTTGTGCATCTTGCAAGCAGATTGCTCACTTCCTCACTGAAGTTCTGACTCACATTGGGACTAAATGCTGCAATCACGTTCTGGCCACCCTGGAAATTCCTCAGTCCTGCTTCTTAAGAGGCAGAGCTGATAGAGTGTTGTGCTTCTGTTCAAGGCAGAAACAGGTGTCAGTACTGGGAGTGGACTCCCCGGGGCGGGTGTCTGTGGGACTCTCGGTTCTTCCACACCTCTCCTGTCGCGAGAGGAATCCCCTGGACACATGGCCTGGGCCCTGGAGTTTACCCAGTGCTTGGTGAAGGCTCCCCAGTGCCATCGCAGGGGGTACAGGTGGAAGGCCAGCATGCCTGGACGTTGCAGTGCTCTCCGCCCAGGCTCCAGGCTTTGTCAAGGCAGCAGTATCTCTGAGCCTCATTTCCCATCTCTGTCCAATCGGGAGAAGCAAGGTCTGTCCTTTGTCTGGTGAGGCTGCTGGGAGGTGCCTGGGCGGTCTTAGTGAACAGCAGTTGTGCACCTGGCAGGGGAGAGCAGCCTGAGGGCCAGGGAGCCGTTGCCAGGCAGCTGAGCGACTACCCTGCCAAGCAGTCCTTGCCTGCTGACCCCTCCTCCTGGGCAGTGCCCTTCCCACAAGTCCGGGAGTCCTGAACTCGGCTGCGCTGTGCTTTTCGAAACATGAATTTGTTCCAACACAACTGACCCATTAGGGAAAGATGTGAGTGTGACATAGATTTCAAAGTTCATATTTGCTCAGCACATGTCCTTGGAAACACCAGAGCACTGCACGCTGCTGACCCCAGCCTGGGTGTGCACACATGCACACACCCCACGCCTCCCGGCACCTTGGTTCACCAAGCAATGGGAAGGGTGGGAGGGAAGTCTGGAATGAGAGGGAAAATTCCAGGCCAGATGTGGGCAGTGTATGGTGCACCCCCCCATCTGGCCCAGAACTTCCCTCCCATTCCAGATCACCCTACCTCTCCTTCTCACCCCTCCACACCCACTCCCTCAAGCAAAGTGAGGGGCTTCTTAAAGACAAACTACCACATTTATTGTAGTATATGTGCATTTTTTTAAACTACCTAATGTGGAAAGCTGTGCTATCATTTTTAATTGGGCCCTTATCTTTTAAAAAAAATGTATCATTGATGAGGTCCCCTTTTCCTCACCAGCCCTGTGGTTTTTAAGCCGAGCTCTGGGATTTTCAGGAATGTCGGGGTCACAGCACAGTAGTTTGACTGTGAATCTGTGGACCAGCCTTGGGTCCCTACTGTGGCCAAACTGCAGGTGGCGATAGCCAGGTGTCAGGACACTGCCTCCGGTGGCACTCACTGTGTGGGTCTTTGCACGTAAACCTGGTTCTTCCATTGTGACATCCATGGGGGACGCATATCCATTGCGGGCTGCGTGCCAGGTGCTGCTCCAAGGAGCTGGGGTACAGCAGACCCACTGAGAGACACTGCCTTGTGCTGTGCCCCATGGGCAGAATTTTTCTGCACAGGGCCAGATAGTACATATTTTTAGTTTTGTGGGTCAGTGGGTTCTGTTGTGGCTGTCCTTGTGCAAAACTGGCCACAGACAACGGGCAGATGGGTGGACAATGCTGCGCTAGGACACAACTGTTGTGCAGGCGGGGCACTTTGAAATTCTTGCCATTTTCAAGGATTGTGAAATGTTCTTTTTTTTCTTGGCAATTAAAAGACATCAAAACCAACCTTAGCTTGTGTACAGAAGAGGTGGTAGGCTGGATTTGGCCCGGGGTCACAGCTGGTCTGCGCAGATCCCAGGGCTCTAGAGGAAGGAAATTGGCTGAAAGGGTCCGAACATTTGAGAGGCTTTTGATGTGTTCTGTAAGTGAAACCACATATCCCCATTGTTAGCAGGACCTTTCATGTGTTCTAATTCCACCTCCGTTTGATGAAAATTGCTTTTCAACACTTGTTAATTCAGCCATTATGAAATAAATTCTTCTCTCCCTTAGTTGCATGGGAGCAACACAAGTACCTAGTTCAAAAGGCAAATGTCGGGGGCTGGGGATGTGGCTCAAGCGGTAGCGCGCTCGCCTAGCATGCGTG